TCGTGTTCTTTAGCAGAACAAGCAAAATACTTGTTTAAACTTAAGTGCCAATCACTGCCCTCGTTGTTCCTACATAATCAACCTTGGCGTCGGAGTGCATAGAAAGGGTCCAAGAGGACGAGCAAGGTCCGGTGATAACGAATTGCAATATCGTCTACACTACTGCAATGTTCAATCGCCATTGGAGGTCAGCAATTAGATGGACTTATTAAACAGATATGCAAAGTTCAGAGCCTTTCATACGAAAATGTGAAAAATGAAGTTGCTAGCAAGGAAGATAGACAATCGTTGTTTTCGTCAAAATGAAATTAGTGTGTTAAGACGACTAACTGTAAGTGGGAGCTTGACACCAAGCATGACAGGTGCCAGAGGTGAGAATTTAAAGGAAGAGCAATAAGCTATGTTCTTCAGTAGGAGTTCACGGCACATCTTTCACCGCTGGCTCGCCGTCTAAATTCTTCCCAACGGTACGCCAAGCTTGGCACTTTAATCACTAACCGTGGGCTACGACTTTCAATGCTTAACGCTTTGTTGCCGTATTTCAACACAAGTTGGAAGGGAAATCAGTAGAGGGTAGGAGGATTTTAATTATCAGAACTGGAGATTTTTTTCGCCTTTTTCTCACTGTGCACACCTCAGGCATCGTCTCCTTTCAAAATGGTATGCGTGGCAATTCTCCGAATCTTGAACCGTGACTTAAACGCTGATATCTTCAATGTCTATGACTAAGTGAAGCTATCACAAAGGTTGGTTTATCTATCTGCCTTTGTTTATGGGATTTTCAGCCAACCAAAATACTTGAATGTTTTGAAACAAACACATAGCCGAGACGGCGACCGACAAAAAGGCTGCATGAAGGCAGTATGAAAAAGAATGGACCAATATTTTGCCCTTAAGGTGGCGTTTCTCGATTCATTCCCTTACTGTTCTGAAGCCTTAATCATTGCAACACGTGAACAGTTGATGAAGACGGCGCTAAAGCAGCTGCAATTGGTGGAAATTTGCGTGATGTTGTTCACCACTTGAAAAATACAGCAGACGGTCCATCCACATTCGGCAGTCCAAGGAATACATTGGCTGTGAGAAGACAAGACTATGCATTGTCATGGTGAAAATACAAATAGCACTTTTAAAAGCTTCAGGCACCATCTAATTAAGCATTTTGGTCGCCACTGAGCGGGACAGACGGTACTGCGAGGTGTGTACTTCGTGACTGAACCTCGATTCTGTTGTTTTCATCCATTTTGCATTTACCACATATTTTTGGTGCGCACATCTCCAGCTCAACGTTTTGTACTTGCGACACTTCTGCCCTTTCGCCGCCTCTTAAGCGGGCGATTAGCGTGGCCATGACTCGTGACGCAAAGGAAATAAACCTCAACATAGATAAATGCAGCAATTTTAAGCATTGTATAGGCCGTTTTGCGGACCGGATATCAGCTAAATTTGTAGGGCTGTTTCTAGTAAGATCAGTATCCTTTAACAAGATGGATTTTCATGTGGTAGCTATTTTTAAGACACCAGCAGCACTGCTATCCATCTTGAAAGTGGGAGCGAGTGACGAGGCGAGACCGCTGGATGCTAATTCCGGGATTGCATGGTAAGAGTTTTGCAGCATACACAAACAAGTCCATTAGGCGGTATGTAGCAATAGCGCATTTTTTACCCCCTGTGCCTCGTCAACAAGATCATCATCGTGTAAAACCATGTTGGTGGGTTTGGTGCAGATGGCGACGGAAGGAGCGAGAAGAGCAGCCACAGAAGTATCGTCAGCCAACTCGTAGTCCGTATTTGAGGGAGAGGGTGGGCGTAGGGGGACGCTTGGTGGGATCGGCATTGGTTTTCTAGCGACTCTTTCAGCATTCAGCTGATCAGCATTAATGATGTGGCTGTGACCGTTGGTTGCAAGCGGTAATGGAGACGAAGTTGTGACCTGCTCAGGTGCGTCTGGTGCAGGACTTGGATTGCACCCCGTGTTTGGATCTGTGGTTGATGACGAGGCAAGACTGTAGCGCTAAAATTTCAACATTTGGTAATGAAGTCAGTTTGGTGTTTTGAGGAGAGCATGAGTAGATATGGTGAAGGTTATTTACAACCTCGACAAGCTCTAAGGCCATTAAGAGACTCGTCAATCCCATTTAGACAAACTACTCTTTCTAATATACATTCCCTGTACTTTAACATTTCCTATTGAGGCATTCAATTGAACGCTTATTTGGATTAATGGGGTCTCAGTGGGAAAATTCTTCTCACAATGCAACACAAACTTCACTTTATTTAGGTAGTTGCGGTTTTTAGCTTCTCAATTTGTAATTACTTTCATTTTATGCAGCAGAAGGCCTCTTGCCTGACTGCAAATTGACACTCACGAAACACATTGCTTGTAATTCTCGAAGACCTTATGAAATTTTAGGCCATTAAAACTCGCCTACGGCCGATCCTGACGAACAATAAAATTCACTTGATTTCTCGCTTTCGGTGCTACAAAAGTGCAGTAGTAGACCGTATACCTTTTGTTCCAAGATTTTGTTTTACTGTTAAGTGAGTCTGCGCAGCCTCAAAAGTAGTATGCAAATTAGAACGTTTTGACCGACTTAAAAGGGCATTCATTAACCTTCTGGACGTGAACTTCGCTGCTCTACTAGCCAAGCAGGTTGTTACATTTTCGTCTGAGGGGACGATCATTTATCCACTTTTAACGACGTACTTTTATGCTTTTATGGAACAGTCTGTAAAATGTGTTGACACCTGTGGCACCGCACCGCACCGCAACAATTCACTGGTACTCCGTGAATAGTTGTTCACACAACTACAATTTTTTAAATGCCTTTTTCGCATCAATTGTGCACAACGTTTTCGCAAAAACTTCAGAAGCACTCCTTCATATGTCAGTTCATGGGATGATTGCAATCGACATGCGCACTAACCGGATTGAAGACCTACCCTCGTGAATCCGCCGTCATCCTGCTCCAATTGTTTCATCGTATTCTCCACCTCCTCCAATTGTCGAAGGAGACTATTGAGATCATTTTCGGCGGTTGCTTCTAAAATTGTGGATTCGCTGCGAAGTCTCGTTAATAGATGCATTTTAAAATGGGGTATGAATAACAAACTTGCAAAACCACTACCAAGCCTTCAGAAAAAATTGAAAGTGTTGATGTTATTCAAGCACTAGCATGAAATTGTAAAGTTTAGACGCAGCCCTCTTTTGTGAAGTAAGAAGGAGTATGGGCTGACACCTACCCTCCTTTGACAGTTGAGGTCTCGCGCAACTTTACAACTTGTTAGTGATCTTTTTTAAACTACAAAAAGAGTCATTGTTGATGACAAGCCTTCTACGGAGTGTTGCGTACCCACTGACTAATCGTTCACGAAAGGCATTTGATTTGCTGTGATGTGTTAGCCTAAAATTCTTTCTCTTTGAGGAATCACAAAATCGGTTAGGAAATAACTTGTGTTTTTGGAAGAAATGATAGTTCACCCGCTGCGTTTTATAAAAAACCTTAAATGTTGTTAAGGTATACCTTTAGCATCACAAATGGAAGTAAGTCTGGGGTTTCTATGGTTGTACTGTTAATTGTAGCCAAAATGGCATTCTAGGAGCTGTCAATACTGCCAATTAACCGGCAATATTCTTGACCCAGCCCACCCATGAAACGATGGAAGTGGGAAGACTGAGGTGCTGTGCATCAACGTCTACCCACAGTCACCGGAAGTGGTTGCGGCAAATCGGCCTGGCGGCGTGCGCTGCCAGCCAATCGCCAGGCAGTGGGCAAACCAGCCCAAGGGCTTTGTGATGAGGCAGGGGGACTGCGAAGCGCAAGGCCATGAATGACCATCAGACGGCGGTGAACGGAACCATCAGCGGGATGGTTTATTGGAGGGCTTGCGAAAGCTCACTCAAACAGAGGATATCTCGTCAGATGAAGAGATGATTGCCTGTTGATGCATTTTCGAGCAAATTTTGAGTAATGACCAAATGAAATGCCTTACCGCTATGTTTGCGATGTTGATTTTGGCATTTAGGTGGCTTTTAGGAGTCAGACACTTGTAGCTGGTAGTGCAACTTTTCTATACCTAAAAAATATTAACGAGCATCTCGGGTTTCTTAAGAGTGTACTCCAAATTTTTTGACTTCTTGAAAGCAAATTTTTCAATTGCTGATCCTGGTCCTCATGGTGCTGTAACATTAGCATCACATGAAGTAGAGGCCTAACCTTTAAAAAAATTCCCATATTAGATGAAATATAAAGAAGAGGGGAACAACATTTCTAAGAGGAAACATTCAGCAAAGAAATATCATCTGTGCATGACAGTGTAGGTGCCAATGAAGAAAACCGAGTCGGCTGTTGATGGGAGTTAGGAGGTCGTACATGCGAACGCGGCGTGTTAGCCCGCATCGCCATGAGTTTGCACGTGCGTATCAGCGATTCCAAACCGCGGCGGGACTCATGGAAGGCGTGTGTTGGTTGCAATGGTGCTGCGGCCAAGCAAGAGGAAGTGCTAGTGTCATAAATCTCAGAGTTTAAGGAAATCGCAGCACAAATCCACAAAGTAAGCAATATTTATGCTTAGCGGACTTAGAAGTTGTTTCATAAAGTGGATGCGCATAAACGAAGCACACAGCACTGCTAACTGATTGCATGGGAGGCAGCAGATTCATCAAGGCAATCGGAGTACACGACCTTTTTTAAATGTCAGTAGATTCGCGTTTGATAATTAAGTCTTTAGCGTTTCAAGTAGACGCGATCCAAGCGCTTAATAAAATGGATTTGAATCTGCACCAGAAACCGACCACTCAAACTGTTCATTTAGCAATACTTTTGAGCCTTTCCCGTACCTGATTTGAAACAATGGACACTCTTTCGACGCTTACCTACAATTTCTGACTTCGACTTCTGCACAAGAGCCAAGTGTGTGTTGACAAACAAACAACTACGTCGTATGGCAAAGTGTAAGAAAGCATCGGTAAATGCTCCCCGACGTAGAAAATGTGTTACAACTCCCTTTTGAACGGCTGTACAGAAAAGTTTTCATAACTTGTACAACTTTTTGCATCAGCCTCCGCTCACAACCAGCCATGCGTCTGCGAGGAAATTGTTTCGCAATCCAATCCTTACCAAAGTATGCTTCTCATCTAAAAGCACACACTTTACAGAAAAATTTGGACGAAATGAATGGAAATAGACATGGAATGCAATCCGTTTCTCAATTAAAATGTCCACGTGTGTATTAATTTAGATAAGGAAATGCCATTTTTTAACAGTTTATTTAGTATCTCAACTTCTAGGTAAGGAAAAGAATTAGGACAATGTAGTTTGGCTAAAGGCGGTTCGCTGATGAAGGAAACAAAACGATTGCATGCTCATGCCATTCTCTCTCAAACCCCTAACATCATAACCTACTATCGCCTTGCTTTACGAAAATAGACATTCCTATTCTCCGCATTCGGTGCGGAAGTGAGACAACAAGGTGGACTCACCTCTACAGCTGAGGGGATTAAAAGAGGCACGGATACTCTGAGTAAGGGTGTTGGCGGCAGAGGTGGAGCCATCCTGGTCCTCCCCATCCCTCTTCTCCAAGTAATTAGAGTCTTCGACTGGAACTGATGGAGGAGGAGGAGGGGCCCGAGGCAGACCTGGTTGACTGTCCGAGGTTTGAACCACTCGCCATGGTGATGACTGGTCCGGCGGTGTCCGAGAGAGATGGCGCGAGTCCGAGAAGGAAGACTTGGCGGAGGAGGAGGAAGAGGAAGAAGGTAACCGATTTGATGGCGTAGGTGGACACTTGCGCTCAAGTCCCTAAAGGACATCGATAAATTTAAAAGGACATGGTTTAGCGTTTTCCTCATTTTTAAAGTAAGAAGAATAACTAAAACTGCGGTGACACCTAAGCACACTTTTGGTGACGTTGAACACTTAAAGATCATTTAAATGCGGAGGATAGATTGTACGGTAGTGGTGAGGGAATCTCACCAAATAACTACTGACAGACCAACCTACTTTTTAAGGATGTTGGAAATAGTGATGATACGCATTAACTCTTCGGAGCGACAAATATTTATTCAAAAGACTTTGAGGAGGCCAACCTTGAGGGAGTAAACAAGTGGAGGCATGGCCTTTTTTGCACATGAATACACTTGGTTTATTTACGTACCTAGTACGTGATCGCAAACCGTGTCGCAGTTTATGTAGCGATGGAGCCAAACAACACTGATTTGAAAGTTGTGGATAGCATTACGAGAGTCATAGGCC